AGGAGTAAAGTAAAAAGGTGGGATTAAAAAGAAATCTGTCGTTTGGGTGATCCCTTTCATTTGGGTGGCGGACCCTCCGTTAGGAGGGTCTGTAATTTTTGTAAAAAAAATGTAAGGGCCGGTTAGTTGGTTTTTTCTTTTTTTTTTTCTTTGTTCTTTTGCCTTTTCTTTTCTCTTAAGCCAGCGCCGATTGGTGTGGAATATTACGTACGGAGTACCCTGAAAGACCTCGTGAAAGTTGCCTTTTTTCCTTCCGATCTTCGCCATGCCCGATGCCTCGGCCAGTCACGGCGATGGTCCGTACAAAGTACATTAATTCCTGGGGGTTTTGTGTGGGATGACGCCTCGAGCAATGATCATCGGGCTCGCAAGGCATACGGAGGTGACATGAGTTTTGTGGGATATGGACTATAAGCTTGGAACGGCTTGCACTCATAACCCGTAACCTCAACTTGATACATATGTTCTATTTGAGAGTTTCCATATAGAAAGTCTATGGATATTTTTCGAATATGCCGAAGGAGCCCTTCCCGAAGAAGCTTGCCCGAAGAAGCTTGCCCGAAGAAACTCGGGAATTATTCGGATACTGAGACATGTGTTTTAACGTCAAAGAAAGTCAAAAAAGAAAAAAAAAGAGGTAAAAGTGCAGGTGGAACTATTTACTAAGATACTTCCGCATTAGGAAAGGATAGTCCTTGCAAACCTTGGAAGAGAGGTTGAAATGCGGGTACATTTGCTTACCACCACTTGGCTCATCCACCAAGCCTTCTTCCAAGACGATTCCAAGAAAGTATCGTCGGCGAAGCCTTCGCGAAGCCTTTGCGAAGACCTTGGCTGTACCCATATCTTGGCCCATACGAATATTGCATATTGGCCCATACTCGAGTACACATATTGAAACAAAAAGGGAAATAGTATTCGGCCCCACACAGGATCTCGGGTAAACACAGAAAAGGCAATTTCTTGGAAAGCGGGCGTTGTCGGACTATTCATCTCCGATCTGATATTTGGCCAGTAAGATCCCTGCTCGCAGGATATGAAAACGGAAACTAGATTAGTAGACGTGCTTGTGCGCAGGAAGATACAATTTATATTAATTTTCCTCCTGAACCAATAACATAATTCCCCGAGTTATTGCGCATAGGGCCTAACAATCCTCTATACCTTCCCAAATCAGAACATGCGCTCTGTCGACGATGATGCCATGTTGACATGGGTACATATCGCTTGGCACACGTTTGGGGGTCGTCGCTTATGAGGGGTTCTCCTCATCATACGAGACAAGTGGGAGCCGATACTTCGCGCACGGTTGCAGATCACGGCAAAGGCGTCCGAAATCAAACCAAAACTCTTAAAACGCCATAAAACCTCAATCCGCCTCCGGTGTGTGGCGCTTCTAGGGTTTTGGCGTCCCCTCGAGTTCCTCGCGGGAGCCTTAGAAAACAGCTTGCCATGTGGCAAGGCTAGACTCCCCGCAAAATTTGTTTGCCATATGACAGACCTCGTGGAGTTACCTGGAAATAAATCCCACTACCCCTGATTGGTCTACAGCATACCGACCTACGTTGAGGTCTAGTGGGTGTGAAGCCGCGGATATATTGATCACGGTAGTCCAAGCCATCCATGGATAGCACTAATGTTTGTACTTGGGTTGCGGTTGAAGGGAAATCATTGAAATGTAGAAATTTGATAGGATCAGCATTCGATCTGGGGCAGTAAGACGAAGAATATTTCAGCCCTGGAGTGTACCAAGTCTCAGATAATCACTCCATTTCAATGAACAGAGAGGGAAAGACGCGTTTTAACACTATCCAGATAAATCACCCCAACTCTAAGTGAACCTTAGTTTGCGAATATCTCACTCGAAGCTAGAAAAAGACAAGAATAAAATGAGGATATTCGCGGCGCAACACCGTCGGTATAACGTTTGATGCCCTTGAACTGCATCCGCCCAAAGGATTCGCACCCAAAAGGATATCAGAAAGGGAGAAGGGAAAAATGGAGCTGGAGCTGGGAAAATGGAGCTCCTACAGAAGGCCGCTTCTACATGAACATACTCGCTTTATTAGAAATTACTCTACATACCAAAGTGTTATCTTCCAAAAATCCGCACATTGGTGGAGCAATATATACTTCGATTGTGGATAGACATATTTCGTAAACTGGGGATGCCTCCATACCCACCAGTATAGTAATGCGGTAGGACGACATAGCATACACTCAACCTTTTATACACAAGGAGGACAACTGCTCATGTCCATATCTGACACGGTAGTGGCAGTGCGTCATATATACATGTATTGAATCACTGGTTTACCCAGTGATACGAGACTCGGTCCTACCGTTTCTCTGCAAATCATTAGCGTCGGATCATCAAAGGGAAGAAAAACAAAGGGCGCATACCAGGGTACGGTGGTACTTGATGCCGACGTTGTTTCCACTGGCCGCGTCATACGGCACAGGGCTGGTGTAGTTGTAGGTGGGTTGAAGACGGTCGTAGGTATTCTTCACAATCTCAGCAACACCATGGCCGGCAGAGCACCCGCCCTTGGTGGCAGGAACGGGCCACTTGGAGGAATAGTGGCCTTTGGTCGACATAGGGCCAGGGTAAGTCTGATTGAGGTAGACATTGCTGGTATCAACTTCCCAGTTGACATAGCCGGTCTTGTCAGCGACCATCTTCAGCAGGTTGGCGCCACAATCCCAGCGGCCAAGCGAGGGCAGACCCCAGTTAGCAGACATGGAGGCGATCATTGAGTAGTGTGTGTAGAAAGTGTCGTCGGTTGTGCCCTTCAGGTGCTCCGGGACAGCACCTCCAACCAGGAAGCTGAAGAGTCGGTTGGGGTAGGGCTTGGTGTCATTTTCATCAAAGGTGAGCAGCACCAGGCTGTCCTTGGTGAAGTACTCGTCCTTCAGCAGGGGAGACAGGAAGCGATCGGTCCAGTTGCCGGCGAAAGTGATGTTGGAGTCGTGGGCGTCATTGACCATGTTCGGTGTGATGAACATGTGTTGGGGAAGGCTGTGGTGCTTCAGGTCTTCGTAGAAAGTGGTGAAATTCTTGATTTGGCGCGGGCGCACGGCGTCGTCGGTAACCGAGTTAAACTGAATCAGCGGGTTGTGCTTGCGCACGTACGACTTCGCACCGTCCAGGGGGTATCGCTTGCCCTGGTAGCCGGCATGGGGCATGTCCTCTTGGTATTCACCCCAAGAGATGTGCTTGGTATCAAACAGATCGGCAATAGTTGAGACATTGGAGGGGATCTGTAGGAAGTCGTCACTATCCATGCCGAATGCGTCACCACCGGCGGCAGCACAGTAGTTAGGCTGCGAGGGGTGAGAGATGGCCCAGTAGTTGGTCAGGAGGATACCCTCCTTAGCCAGCTTGGCCAGGTTCTCATCTGAAGCAGCATCTTCATAGTCCTGCAAGGGGTTAGCACGTGGTCATTGTTGTTTATCAAGGGAAACCTACTGTGTTCTCGAGCCAGATGTCCACGAAACGATTAAAAGCCAAACCCGTTACGTTTGACACAGGAGAGTAAGGCAGGGTCGTAGCACGGGCTGCATCGATCTCAGCCTGAGTTGGGTTCTCTTCAGTGATAGTCGTAGCCGCGGCCAGGGCCAGGGCCCCGACGAACGCGAGAAGAGATTGTTTGGTGAACATGTCTGGGATCGCGGTAGTAGCTGCGATAAACCTTGGTAACAACCTTGGAAAGGAGCAGACCGGTCGGGCAACACGCGATCTTATACTCGAGCCAGCCTTGGAGGCATGACATTCCCTTCATTGGAAGAATGCCGCTATGTTACACGGCACTTGCAAAACGATACCACGTTGTGACCGACGGAGGGCTGACTGGCTGCTTTCCAAGCCTTCCAAAGTTCTATCCCGAAAGGGTTCAAGACTTGAAACTGACTGTGAATTACAATCAATGTGATTTGATTGGGCGAATAGCAGGTGGTGGACCGGGTACCTGCCGGCAGGTGGGCCTTGCGTTTGCACGTTGTTGTTGTTCATGCCCTAACTGGCTGATCACCTGGGGCTCAGGCCAAGTACGGCACTTGACTGACCATACCCTCATCTGCTTTTACATTTGCAAATGTGATCAAAGGTTAACTAGCTATATTGTAGTTATCTGGAGTTTAATTCATATATTATTAAGATCTTAGTGCCCAGACCTCGGGAAAGACCTTGGGACATATGCTTACCTTTTCTTAGCGTCTTGTTATTAAACCTTAAGCCTTTGAATCTCCACTGTGTGTTCTCATTTAAGTCATACTCCGTATTCCAAGGTTGTACCTCTGCATCCACGCATCAGGTGATTGATGAATCTAGACGTTCGACAGTTCAGTTTCGAAACCAGTTCCAGAATCTGTATAATTATCCTGATTGGAAAATAGATCCTAAAATTCCCTGGATCTATATCTTCTCATCCATCCTTAACGTAGCCTATTATGAATCTGAAAACCTCAGCTCGCCAGCAACACCTTTCCTTCTCACCGAGACGACTAGAAAGCTAATCTACTATTACAATACCCCGTATGGGCTCGGTGACTCAAAACACACGTTGAGTATTTTTTTCACCTTCCCGTTCTCGGATGGAGGCGCACGATGTTGTGCGATTTCTGACCGAGAGCACGGAAGGGAGCATTGTGGAGCCAGAAATCTTCCTTATTGGCGACGAGAGGACGGCGGAATATAGCAATACGCCGTTGTGCAATTTCAACCAAAAGTATATGATGGTGCATTGACGCTCAAAACTGTGCGTCTAACTGCAGAACTTATGAACGAGGAGGCGGCTGTGGTGTTGATTGGTGCAGAAGTAGCTGATAAATTACTGAATAAAGTGGATGGGGTCTCTAGAGGTCGAATGGGAATCGTGGCTGGACAACAGCCGCTGAAGAAGGGTGGTGATACACCAGAGAAGCAAATGTAGGCTTTCTTTGCTCTGTTGTTAACTGCCAACTTAATTAGTCCTACGCTGTATGGCATTGAGACCAGACACACATTGGTTAACGGATGAGCTTGAAGACGCAATAAGTACCTAGAGCCGGGCACAGAGACCGTGTAAAGACACCTCGTAAGAGACACAACGTTGATGCATGACACAACGCAAACCAAGAAAAATCATTTGGGAGTTGACATATGCATTTCCAACGATGTTGTCTATTATATCAATAGAACAACCGAGAATAGACATAGCATGAGAGATCAATGGGCAGAAGCATACTGGGCAATGGAAATGCTTTTTTTATCTGTTCATTTGGGAAGAGGCCGGTTGCTTGAGGCGGCAGATCCGTGGATGCTAGAGGTTGCGTAGTCAGGACAGCCACCTACCAACAGAGTATTTTAACTCATCAAGCGGCCTCGGGGAGCATACACAGCGCTGAGAGTTGACAGAATACGCGGGCCGTAGTAACGAAAATGAAAGCGGTTTATTCATGGCAAAATCCCGTGGAACGGAATGCGGTAACCGTGAGTGAACTCATGCCGGAGACAACTTATCTCGTTCGGAAAGAGCTTTAACCATATTCAGGTTGCTACCTTTCTCTTCGAGTAGTACTAAGCCTTACGAGCGTGGTAAAGTGTACCTACATTGAATCAGTGGTGGCAAAGAGAAAGTAATATGAGTTAGGTTAAGTTTCTCCTACGTGCTAGGACAAAGGAGGGCAGTGAAATGCGCGCATGTCGCTGTATCCCAAGCGAAATTGCACCGGAGATGGCCCACAATCTTCTCATAGACCATTATAGAATGAAACAAGTTCCCGTTAGCCCTTTATGTGTTGAAACAAAAAATGCATCTACTGTAGACGGATGGTATTTGGGATTTGGCGATCCGCCGAAGTTGGGGTGTCGGGTCGGGTCGGGCCTTTCCTTTTCGATCTAAACACAAAGACCAGCGTTTGGCTGGAATGGACAGTAGCACGTAAAGATGACTCAAATGATCGTCAAGCCCTGCAGTGCTGATCGAGTATTTGTCAATCTTACTCAATTTGATCAACATGAAAAGTGACGGATATCACCTGTGATCTGGAAGAGATCGGTCCCTTGAGGTGCCCGGGTGGTTGTCAAATCTCTTAGTTTAGAACTTAGCTTCACAACTCTCAATGAATCATCATTCTCACATTCCACCATGCACCTTAACTAGTCTCTTTTAACAGTAGTGATTCACATTAGGTAAGGATCGGGGCTATGGATGCCCAAGCTTCAGCGCCAGCCAGTTCAAATCCCCCGAAAGTGTCCAGTCAGTTAACATCGTACAGATATTGTGTGCTCGACAGAAGAATTCTCATACTAGATCACATACTTCTATTCACTTACAATATGATTGCGCTTCTAGATCTACAGTTGAGATCGTGCTGCTTATAATCGACTCCCAATTCGCCGCAACGGAACCAGACAACTTTGACGCTTCTACCGTAACCAAAAAGACTTGAACACCCTTTCACAAACAAACACATGGCTCTATGCCCAGTTAGAAACCTGCTTGTACAAGTTCAACGCGCAACATTGTGGCCAAACATCATTGGCATTCGGCGCCTTCCGCGGCTATGACACTGTTGTCCAGAAGTCTCTGGCAGTAGACCCATCAAATATAAGACGAGATTTGCGATTTCCAACACACGACGGCCAAATATTCCATTCTCCACTTTGCTTGGCAGTTCGGGGGGGGGGGGGGGGGGGGGCG